CAGCACAAAGGAAAAAAAGAGGCAAAGATGGAATAAAATCAAAGCAGTCCATGGGATTGCCGGGGAGACATCCAGAGATTCCAGGAGGGAGCAGGGAGCGGCCGGCCCTGGTTTGTCTCGGGGTCCAAAGCTCCATCGCTCATTAACACACCACAATTAACGCTCTGCCTCCGAGGCACACAAGTGTTGAGCTCATTAGCACCGAGTGGAAGGGTCCGAGGCTTTCATATCGTTTGAGAGGGCATTAAGAACACAAAAGGGGCCATAAATTTACAGCCAAATATAAACCAGCTGCTGTGGGCTGGGCTGGGGGGGAGGGAAGGATCCGGATTGGGATGGGGGAGAGGGCTGCAGGAGGAAGGAGGGATGGGAGGTGGCAGGAATGGACCTTTTCCTACAAAAAACCTGGGCCGAGATTGTTAAGAGGTTGGGGATTTTTTTCAGGGTTTTTAGGATATTTCTTTTCATGTCTATCCAACCCTCCCAGCCTATTCCGTGTGCCTGTGGTGGAAAAGAAATCATCCCAATCCATCAGAGCCAGCTCCCAAAATGATATCAGATAGGCTGAGTTCCAGCTGCCATCAGCTCCAGCCTCTTCTCCAAGCCCTGGGAGTCTCAGTCTCATGGGCAAAAGCCTCTGGAGCAGGAAAAACATTTCATGGATGGAGAACGGCTCCTGCTCCCGTTCTGGGGAAAGAATTCCTGGGCTGGGTTGGCTCCTTGACTTTACACCAAGCAGTGCTGTCATCTCCAGGGGTGTAAATCCAGAGTCATTCCAAGGGATTAAAAAAAAAGCCAAATGGAGGAGCTCCTGGCTAAAACATAAATTTGGTGGGATTTCACAGTGCCCAAATCTTCCCCGAGCTCCGAGCCTGCTGCGCTGGCAGAGCAGGATTGTGGCTGTGGGATACCCTAAAGTTGGATTTTCCACCTTCCTGGGCCATCCAGGGTGGGAGTTTTTGGGTGTCCTGGGAGGCACGGAGAAGGTGAAGCCCCTCCTTGGTCAGCAATGCTCTGAGCTGGGTGGAACTGCAATCCAGGCTCCACTTCCAGAGGGATGAGGAGCAAATCCCGGGGATGTCAGGGAGTCAGGATCCATCCCGCATCGTGACCCCTTTGTATTTCCCATCCATCCTCCTCCATCCTTCCAAGCAGCTGAAGGAACTTCCTTCACTGTGGTTTGTAACATCCCACTTGTCCCTCTGGTGGTAACGGAGCTCTCCGCCACTTCCCAGGTGGAATTTTTTCCACGGAATATCTCTCAGCTGCCGGTTCTCCAGCTTCCTTCTCCTTACAGGGTGGCCTTCAGTTGGGATCACCCTGTGGGGTCATCTCAGACCCTGTCACCTCCTGGCTGGAGGAGCTTTAATCCTCACCTGGTCTGCAGGAGCTCCTCAGGCTTTTGCTCATCCCTTGAGATCCTCAGGATTTCCTTGGAGGAATCCCTTTTCCAAGTTTTTTTCCCTTATTCCTGCCACGAGAGCCTGTATGCTCTGGAAGGTGTTTCTATTCCTTTGGGATGAAGTGGCTGCACCATGGATCGGGAATTTCCCTCTCATCCCTTCCTGAGTGTGGCCACCTCTTGCTCTGCTCCGTTCCCAGTTTCTGGAATTCTTGGCAGGACCAAGGACTGTTTTTTTTTTTTAAGTCTGGCTTTGCGTGTAGGAGAGTCCCCGCCCTGGGTTACTTAAATCCATAGGGATCCTTCCCTTTTGTCCTCTCTCTGCTCCAGGAAAATGCATCGGGTCCATAAAAACTGGGATTTTTCCCCTATTTCACTTACACTGGGAAAGCTGTTCATCCCTTACCTCCAGGGGAACTCTCATGTCCAGCCCACAGGCAGTCGGGATAGCCCATCCCAAGGGTTGGAATTCGATGGTCTTCAAGGTCTCTTCCAACCCAAACCATTCCACAATTCCTGAAGAATGAGAGCTCCCACCATGCCTGCTGGGTTTGTGGGATTCTCCTTCCCCACAAAGGCTCCATCCGCAGGGATCCCAGCTGGATCCTGGCCAGCTGATCCCACCTTTCCGATCCCTTTTCTCAGGACACAGCTCCCATTTCTTTGCCGTGACATCCATGGATGTTCTCCCTCCTTGAGGAGCGTAATTTAAATTTTATTCTCCTTTTTCTCCATAAAAAAATGTGGAGAGCACACTTGGAGCAGCATTCCAGAGCCGATGAATCCCAGTGCCTTTTGGTATCCCCATAAATTTGGCTGAGAAGCTGAAATTTCTCAATGGAATTTTGCTGGGGACGGGATTTTTGGGAGAGTGAGGCAGTTTTGCAGGGGGGTTGCTGAGGCAGGTCCTGCTTGGTCGTGGCTGTTCCCCACAGCCTCTTTAACCTCAGACTTAAAGGATTTGGGATGGAAAGTAAGGCAAGGCCTTAAAGGGTTTGGGATGGAAAGCAAGGCCTTGGAGAATTTGGGATCGAAAGAAGGGCCTTAAAGGGTTTAGGATTGAAAACAAGGCCCTGGAAGGTCTGGGATTGAAAACAAGGTCTTAAAGGATTTGGTATCAAAATCTCCCATGCGATGTTGGGGTTTTGTAGGAAAGTTTCTTGAATGTGGAGATTTTTAAGTTGTGGGGAAATGCAGGTCTTGGTCTTAATTTTATTCTGAACTTGACTAGAAATGCTGGAGTTCCTCATAATCCTCTTTTTTTTTAAACATGGAAAAATCAGGGGCAGGGACAACTCTCAGAGGTGCATCATGACATGACCCAAGGATCTGAAATGATCCTTCTGCTTTTTCCAGAAGGAGTTTTTGAGAATCTTTCGAATTTTGAAGCAAATTGAAATTTTGCCTTCGGCAAAGGTGCATCATTCCTTTTAGCCTGGAGGCTCCAGCTCCCATTCCCAGCCTCCAGCTGGAGGCTGGAGTGTTCACGAGAGCCTGGATTCCTCCAGGATGGAGCTTTCCACGTGCTCTATTTCCCAGAGAAAAAAGGGGAGCGAAGGAATCAGTTCTTTGCTGTGTGCAAAGGCCGAACCTTTTATGAACAGATCCCAGAGTGTCTGGGCAGGAGTGGGATTTTTTTGAATTTTCTTTCCCTTTGTGGTGCCTTTCCAACGTTTTTTGCTGTGTTTTCCCTTTGTTCACACTCCCAGTACCAGGTGGCCTCTTGCCCATGGACCACCTCCAGAAATATCCTGGTTCACAAGCCCGCTGGAGCATGGGAATGGGCTCCGGAGAGGGGCAGACAGACATCCAGGACAATGTGGTGATGGGGAAGGGCTGGGACAAACACAGCCTGGTCTTTGGAAATGTGGGAAGAATTAGGATTGATCCAGGCTGAGATGTTGCTTTGGGTGATTCCCGACGTGTCCTGTCGGCCAAACCTCCGGCAGGTGCCAAATTGGTTCCTGAAAACTTTTCCAGGCTCATCCCGCCTCACTTTGGTCAGGCCAGCGGCTCTAGGCTGGATGGGATGCAGGTGGCTGATCCCAAAATTTAAGTTTTCCTCCTGGAAGGGAGGAACGGAAAGCTCCGTTCCCTCTTTTGGGAGGATGTGCCAGTTGGGAGTGAGGGGCCTGCAAATCATGGATGGCAAAAGGCAGGGATTGGTGCTGGTGCTTGGAGTGGGAAGGAGAAAGCCATGGAAAAGCAGTCCCATGCATGGAATCACTGCTGGAGCTCACAGAATTCCCCCAAATTCCCTCTCCTTGGCTGTGGTTTAAGGATGGGGCTGGGGCGTTCTCCAGTTGGGTCTGGGGGCACTTTACTGTCACACGGAGCTGAGGCACTGGGAGGACATTTTCTGCCTTTGGAAAACCAGGAATCCTTAAATATCCTTTTTCCATGTGAGGTGGAATTCCCAGGTTCCAGCCAGGCTCGCTGGGTGGTGGGGTCTCCGTTGCTGTGGGTGTGCGGTGGAAATGGACGCCCTTGGATCAGGCAAATCCCCAGATTTGGCTCTTTTGGGACATATCCCAACGGGATATGATACAAAAACTGGGGGCGCTTTCCAGCATCCCCAAAAAGTCCCAGCACTGTCGTGAGCCCTTGTGGCTGGGTGCCACCAGAGCCGGGCTGTGGCATCTCAGGGTTAACAAAGCTGAGCTTAGAGATGATTTTGCCTCTTGGCAGCCCTGGAACAACTTTTTTTTTTTTTTTTTTTTTTTTTTTTTTTTTTTTTTTTTTTTGCCTTAATTCTCCTCGGCTTTGCCTGGATTCACTCCTGGAGCAGCCGAGCCGCTCGGCTCGACTTCACTAGAGGGCGCAGGAATTTTAGGCTAGGAACGCGCCGGGGTTCATCGGGGAAAGTTGGCTGCCTTCTCCTCCTTTTTAATCAACTGGAAAGATGCAGGGTTGAACTGGAGGTGACTGGAAGGGGATCCAGACTTGTGTCTGGCCGGGGAAGGATCTGCTGACATGTGGGATTAGGTGGTGCGAGCGCGGCGGCGGCGGAGGCCGGGACGGAGCAGCGCGGCCGGGGCTCGGGACGTGGTTGGGAGCTCCAGGGAGCAGCCAGCTGGAGGAGCCTCCTGGCACCAGGAGAGCTCCGAAAATTGCAGAGGAAAGGGAAAAAAAAAATTCCCCCTCACCCCCCAGAGCTTAATGCTCCCCCTCGTCCGGCTGGGCAGGTCTGCGTTGATCTCACAGGGGTTCGGTTTTCTCTTCCAAAGGATCCCCAAGTCTGTTCACGGCAATCCTTAGGACAGGATCTTTCCTTTTGGGAGCCTGGCTTGATCCAGGGGTGTGGATCCAGCCCCCCACACCACAGCAGCTGTTTTGGGGCCAGAGGCACGTCTGGGACTGCGTCTGTTCTTCAGGGAGCAGGGGGACCCCAAGTGCTTCTCCTGTGGGAAGGACGAGGCCAGGAGCCCCCAAAGGCCACCTCTGTTGGGATGGTGGCTCCAAGCAGGGATGTGACCCTGTGCTCCTAAAGCAGAGGCTGTCCTCTCATTGGCCCTGCTTCCAGCTGGGGAAACTGAGGCATGGGAAGTGTTTCGGGACGTTCACTGGGATCCTCTGTCCTTGTTCTGAGCTCCTTGGCATGGATGAAGGGCAGGTGAGAGCAGGATGGGGAGACAGCAGTGTCCCTTTGGTGGTCCTGTCCCATCCTTGTGGAAGAGCTCGTGGATCCTGGCTCTGCATCAAACCCCGGAGTCCTGCCCAGGGACGAAGGAACCGTCCCTTTCCCACTCCCTTCCCACCTTCCCCGCTCCCTTCCCACCTTCCCCACGCAGCTGAGGGTCTCGGCTTTACCCCCTCCAGTTTTTCCTGCTCGAGCAGCTGCTTTTTCCAGTAGAAAATGCCTGAAGGTCGCTGCCTTTCCAGGCTCCAAGCCGGCTCTGGATGCAGGCGGGCCCACGGCCTGGCCGCTCCCTGCTGTTCATTCATTCATTCATTGATTCCTCCTCTCATTCATTCATGCCTCAGCTCCGTGCGGCCATCCAGGGATGGCTCCCTGTCCCCAGGCTGATCTGCTTGGGTTCTCTTCCCTATCCACCCTCTCCATCCCGGGATTTCCACGGGGAGCTCCGCCGTGTGCCGAGCTTGACTCGGGGCTCAACCTGGGGCGTCGTGAAGCGGCTCTCGTGGAGCCTCCGGAGCCTCCTGCCCGGAGCTGCGAGGGGACAGGGGTGTTTTTTCACCAAACAAACTCCCAGGGAACGCCGGGCATTAGCAATGAGGGGTCGCAGCCAGGAAAATATTACCTTTCCCTTGGAGTGCTGACTGCGGAGGAAATTCTCACATTTACAGCTCCGGCGAGCCCGGCGCTCATGGAAAAGAGGGGGCGGCTTTGATTTCGCTCCTCTCGGTGGGTTGATAACTTAGCAGCCCCCCCACCTCGCCTCCATTCCCGCCGGGAAGCGGCCACCGGTGGAGGCTCCGGCGCTCGGCTCCCTCCTTGGAATCCTGCTTTAATTGGATTTTCCTGGAGGCCTGCGGTGCGTGTGCGTCCTGCCCCGTGCGTGTGTGTAGGTTAATAAAAAATAAACAAACAGCACTTTCCCCCCTTTCTCGGGGAGGGATGCGGCGGGAATGCCGAATGAAAGCGCTGCTGTGCCGGGAAGGGACATTCCTGGCATTGCTGAGCTCCACGAGCGGGCCCGGGCCCAAATTGGAGGAAAAAAATTGGAGTAAGGAGCCGTTAGCGTGGGGGACCTGGGGAGGCCCAGTCCTGCTCACTGTTTACTCGCAGAGCTTAAATTAACGCTGGCTGCTGACATCAGGAATTTTTTTTTTTTTTCCCTGGTTTCCCAAGGAAATGAGCCGAGGGCGATCGTGGCCTCTGCGTACGTGCAGAGGCTCTTCCCCGCTTGAACCCCTGTCGGAGTTCAGCCAGATTCCACAGAGATCCTAAAGGCTCCAAAATAATTATTTTGCTTCATTTTACATCCATTTAAAAAAAAAAAAAAAAGGGGGGGGGAAAAAAAAAAGGTGCGAGGAATTTTCGGTGCTTCCCATTGGGAGAGCTGTGTTTTCCCATGGTGTTTGCCTGTCTTGGACACCAGAGAATCCCTGTGGGAAAGGTGCATTAGTGCCATCCAAACCATGGGATGAACCTGAGATCCAGTGGAATTGGAAAGCCGGCTCTGTCCCTCCTGCCACACGTGGGATGAAGGAATTCCTCTCATCCCAGGTTTGCCCCGTTACTCTTTGTGACGGTCGTGGTGGGAATCTCGGGACGAGCCGGTGTTTCTGGCAGCTTTTTTAGGAATTGGTGACTCTGGATGAAGAGTCAGGAATGGTGACAACTCCCCGTAGGACACGTGGTGACCTTGGAGAAGGCCAAGCGTGTCGGGGCCGTGGGAAAAAAAACCCCTCCTTGTTGTTCCTTGCAGGTCTTCTCCAAGATTTTCAGCCATGAGGCTCTGGAGAGTTATCTCCCCAAGATCCAGCTGGTGATCAAGGACACCCTGCGGGCCTGGAGCAGCAACCCCGAGTCCATCAACGTGTACCACGAGGCGCAGAAGCTCACGTTCCGCATGGCCATCCGCGTCCTGCTGGGCTTCCGCATCCCGGACGAGGAGCTCGGCCGCCTCTTCGAGGTCTACCAGCAGTTCGTGGAGAACGTCTTCTCCTTGCCCGTGGATCTGCCCTTCAGCGGCTACAGGAGGGTGAGATTTGGGTTGGGTTCTCTGCCCTGATAGCACCAATTAATTAATGGGCGGTGGTTAATCAGCACCTTTCCTGGTTCTCACTGGGATTCCTCATCCTCTGACCTCAATTAGGCCATTTTGGGCCACCATTCCTGATTTAGTGGAGAAGATGGAGGAAAATCCGTTCCTTGGTGATTGGAGTGGTTTGATAACAGAAAATAGTCAGGACTTGCCCAGATTTAATTCATATTTTCCCTCATTTGGAAATTTTTTCGTATTTTTTTTAGTTTGTGGGATCCTTCTCCTTTTAATTCCCTCCTGTCCTTTAAGTGAAACAGGTCTTTGTAATTCCCAAAACTAAAACAGGCCCTTCTAATTCCTGGAGTATTCCAGGTTTTTTTGATGAACGATGCAAAATGAAAACATAACAAAAAATAGACATAAAATCGTCTTCTTTTCCATGGGGAATTTTGATAACAGAAATACGAGGGGTCAAAATGTATTTCTGTGATATCGCTGCAAATCTTTTTTATTGCTACCTGCCCATGGGAATGATTCCATCCCCTCGGAGTCCGGAATCATTCCCAGCAGCAGGTTTGCCCCGAGCAGCTGCATTCCTGTAGGAATTGCTTTACTGGGACCAGGTGATCAAATTGCTCGGGAAGAGGATTCTTTGGGATGAATGGGCTTTCCTTTGAGAGACAATTTTTCCCAGGGATTTCCATACATCCCAGGAGGAGCCGGGGGGCTGTGAAACGGTGCCGGACAGGGGCTCCCAGCCCAGACCCATCATTTACACCTAGGTGTTGATTACTCCGCCTGTGATCTCCCCCACTCCGGCTTTACTCCTCCTGCCCAGGGGACACCTCCAACATCTTCACACCCCTCTCTGAGCCTCTGCTTTTATGGCTTGGACCTCTCCTGAGCACGTCTGCAGCTCCTGGGATGGGCAGAGCACTGCTGGTGGTGGGGTCTGACGGCTTCCTGCTCCACAGGGAATCCGGGCCCGGGAGACGCTGCAGAAGGGGCTGGAAAAAGCCATCCAGGAGAAGCTGCAGAACACACAGGGCAAGGACTACGCCGACGCCCTGGACATCCTGATCGAGAGCGGGAAGGAGCACGGCAAGGAGCTGACCATGCAAGAGCTGAAGGTAAGGCTCTGCCCTGGGGTCACCTTGCCATTGTTCTGCTCAGGGTGGGGCCTTCCCGAAGGGAAAAGTTTGGGATGCTCCAAGGAGGAATTTTTGGGGCAGACCTGAGATGAGCAGTGAGAGATGGGGGACCACAATGTGTTGGTGGGTCCTGGATCCAAACCAGTTGCTTCATTTATTTGCTGGTCATGCCCAGCCCTTTCTACAGAGCATTCCATGGAATCATTAAGCTTGGAGAAGGCCTCCAAGATCATCAAGTCCAACCTCCATCCCCACCAAACCATACCAGAAAATCCCACATCCGCTCGGTTTTCAAATGCTTTCAGGGATGGTGACTCCATCACTGTCCCAGACAGCCTCTTCCAACGCTTGGCCCCTATTCCAGGAAAGAAATTCTTCCTGATATCCAACCTGAACCTCCCTGTTCACGAGGGAAGTTTTGATCTGCTACATCCCTTGACCCTTCCACCTTTCCTGGCACTTTCTTTGCTCCTCCAGGAGCCCCTCAGAAGGTTCTTATCCACAGCTGGGTCACAGCACACCAGGAGACATCTCCTGGGTGTTTTCCTCGGAGGTTCTGTGTGAAGCTCCTTGTGGTGGCTGTCCAAGGAGTGACCTTCCAGTTAAACGTGACCAAGCTGTGGCTGCCCCATCCCGGGAAGTGTCCAAGGCCATTAACAATGGACACAAACTTTGCCCAGATGTCCCTCATCCCTCCTGGTGGGTGGGAAATCGCCCAGGAGAATCCATCCCCCTCCAACATCTCCCTTTGTATGCCACATACCATTTTTCCCTCTCCCAGCTTTGGGATGTGATCCTTCCTCAGGTCACTCGGCCCCTTTGGATCTTAAATTTTTGGAGCAGCTCTTTTGGGGAGAAGCTGTGGCTGCTCAACCCCTGGCAGCGTCCATGGCCAGGCTGGACAGAGCTCGGAGAAACCTGGGATAGCGGGAGGTGTCCCTAGGCTTGGTACAAGGAGATCTTTAAGTTCCATCCAACCCAAACCATTCCATGATTCCGAGGCCAGGCTGGAAAGCTGTTTGGGAGAAGAACACCCCATGGCACCTTGACCTCCTGGGGCTGGTGGCCCCTCCATCCCACCCCTGCCTCTCACCCTGGCTCTTCTCCTGTCCCCCAGGACGGCACCCTGGAGCTCATCTTCGCCGCCTACGCCACTACGGCCAGCGCCAGCACCTCCCTGATCATGCAGCTCCTCAAACACCCGCGGGTGCTGGAGAAGCTGCGGGAGGAGCTGCGGAGCAAAGGGATCCTCCACAACGGCTGCATCTGCGAGGGCTCTCTGCGCCTGGACAACATCAACGGCCTCCAGTACCTCGACTGCGTCATCAAGGAGGTGCTCCGGCTCTTCACCCCCATCTCTGGAGGGTACCGCACAGTGCTGCAGACCTTCGAGCTGGACGTGAGTAGTGCTGCACCCTGAGCTCCCCAAAACGGCCCAGCTCGCTTGAGCCTGGCTTAGAGGAGACCTCCATGGGGATAAACTGAGTCCTGACTAATTAAGTCCTCCCAGGCAGCCAGTGGCAGGACAAAGGAACGTAGCCTTAAGCTGAACCAGGGAAGTTTAGGTTGTATATTCCTAAAAAGTTCTTCCCAGGAAGAGCGGCTGGGAGTTGGAATGGGATGCCCAGTGGGGTGGTGGAGTCACCATCCCCAGAGGGCTTTAGGCCTGGATGTGGCACTCGGTGCCACGGTTTAGTGGACGAGGTGGCGTGAAGCCACAGCTTGGACTTGACCATCTCAAAGGCTTTTCCAGCCTAATTAATTCTGTGATTCTGGCAATGGGATTTGCTCCAGATCCAGCAGCGATGCGACGTGGAGCAAGGGATGCGCCGGAGCTGCCAAAGAGCAGACGGGTGTGATGCTTCAAAGCCCAGCTCGTGACAGTGACGCCAAATTCTGAGCCGGGGTGTGACAGGGGAAAGGTTTACGGCAAAGGGCATCTCCAGGCTGCCGGATGACAGGAGGATTAGTCACCACCGTGGCTGGAATTTCCTCCCAGCAAAACAAAATCTCAGGAGCTGCCTTGTCACTGTAAATCCTCCTAATGCAGCGGTTTGAGTCAGAGACCTTTTAAAGTGCTCAGGGGATGATAAATCCACCCCATTTCTCATCGCCCGGGCCCGACGTGGGTGTTGGGTGTGTGGTGCTGACAGGCAGCGGGGTGTGGGATGCTGTGGGATCTTCTGGGATCCTCTGGGATGCTCCGGGAAGGGCTGGCAGATGTGTGGGGCACGGCACGGGAGAAGCTGCTTCCCCTGCTCAGCACCACGGCGTTCCTGGTAGGCAGCTGCTGCCAGTGACCACAAAGCAAACAAATGGATGGAGCATCCCACGAATCCTTGGGATAGAGGGAGGAATAAAGCCAGGATTTGCATCTCTTTGTGCTGTGCTGTCTGGTTTTCCTCTAAAATCTGCATCACGCTTGAGGGATAAACCCAAAAGGAATGGGAATAAGCAAGGAAAACTGTGAGGGTGGCCTGGCACGGATTGCCCAGGGATTGTGGATGCCACATCCCTGGAAGTGTCCAAGGTTGGATGGGGCTTGGAGCACCCTGGGGCAGTGGAAGGTGTCCCTGCCCGTGGCAGGGTGTAGGACAGGATGAGTTTAGGGTCCCTCCCCACCCTGACCATTCCATGATTCCGTGGAAACAGAATTCCTTTATCTTGTCCCCCTGCTCCCTCTCCCTCTCCAGCAGGATTGACCCACTCTGCCCTTCTCTCCACCCCTTCCCACCTCTCCGCAGGGTTTCCAAATCCCCAAGGGCTGGAGCGTGATGTACAGCATCCGGGACACCCACGACACCGCTCCCGTCTTCAAGGACGTGGACGTCTTCGATCCCGACCGCTTCGGGCAGGGCCGGAGCGAAGACAAGGACGGCAGGTTCCACTACCTCCCCTTCGGAGGAGGCGTACGGACCTGTCTGGGGAAGCACCTGGCCAAGCTTTTCCTCAAGGCTCTGGCCATCGAGCTGGCCAGCACCAGCCGCTTCGAGCTCGCCACCAGGACTTTCCCCAAAATCACCCTGGTGCCCGTGGTCCACCCGGTTGACGGACTCAAGGTCAAATTCTTCGGACTGGATTCCAACCAGAACGAGATCCTGACGGGCACAGACGCCATGCTGGGGGCCACCGTGTAGAGCCCGCGCCGGTGGCACCAGGGACGGGTGGCCGGGGGATGCAGGGGTGGGG